CCCAAAGTGCTGGGATTACAGGCTTGAGCCACCGTGCCCGGCCAGGGGTGTTGTTTTCTGTTTGCAATGCGAGAAGTAGTGGGCACTGCTGAGCTCTGAAAACGCCCCTGAAGAAGGAGGAGTGGATGGTGCGGGAGACACTAGGGAGGACTCTGGAGCAGTCTACTCCCGGTGGGCCAGAAGGGTGGGGCCAGAAGGAGCTGGGTGTCACGATGGTCACCCAGGCCAGCCACCTGAACCCACATGCTTCAGTCTCAGTTTCTCAACCTCTGTGTGCCTCCGTGTCCTTGGCCGTGAAAGAGGAAAGATGATCATACCTGTTAGGTCATTGTGAGGGTGAGATGGGCATAGCTCAGGTGGGGTCCCGTGTGGTCAGTGGGCCGAGGGACCTCCCCTACCTCTCCATGTGCTGCATGCCTGCCTGCAGGCCACTAAGATAAAGGGGCACCCACAGACACATGCTGAGGCTCCTGGGAAGGAGAACAGGCTGCCTGGGGGCTGCTGGTAATTGTCAAAATAAACACATCACCCAGGCCAGGCACGGTGGCACACACCATGTTATCCTAGCGGCTTGGGAGGCCACGCGGGAGGATCACGTGAGCCTAGGAGTTCCAACCTGGGCAACGCGGTGAGAAATTCCTCTCTACAAGAAATTGGAAAAAAATTAGCCTGACATGATAGTGCACACCCGTAGTCCCAGCTACTCAGGAGGCTGAGGTGGGAGGATTGCTCGAGCCCAGGGAAGATTGAGGCTGCAGTTAACTGTGATGACACTACTGCACTGCAGCCTGGGTGACAGAGACCCTGTCTCAAAAATAATAAGCCAGACGCAGTGGCTCACACCTGTAATCCCAGCACTTTTGGAGGCTGAAGCAGGAGGATCACCTGAGGTCAGGAGTTTGAGACCAACTTGGCCAACATAGTGAAACCCTAACTAAAAATACAAAATGAGCCGGGTGTGGTGGCTGGTGCCTGCAATCCCAGCTACTTGGGAGGCTGAGGCGGGAGAATCCCTTGAACCAGGAGGCAGAGGTTACAGTGAGCCGAGATTGTGCCAGTCCACTCCAGCCTGGGCGACAAAGTGAGACTGTGCCTGAAAAAAAATACAAAAATTAGCTGGGCATGGTGGTGCACCCCTGTAATTCCACTTACTCAGAAGGCTGAGGCAGGAGAATCACTTGAACCCAGGAAGCAGAGGTTGCAGTGAGGTGAGAAAGCACCCGTGCACTCCAGCCTGGGTAACAACGAAAGACTCTGTCTAAAAAATGATAATAAAGGCCGGGCGCGGTGGCGCACACCTGTAATCCCAGCACGTTGGGAGGCCGAGGTGGGCAGATCACAGGGTCAGGAGATCAAGACCATCCTGGCCAACATGGTGAAATCTCGTCTCTACTAAAAATACCAAAAATTAGCCAGGTGTGGTGGCACGCGCCTGTAGTCCCAGTTACTTGGGAGGCTGAAGCAGGAGAATCACTTGAACCAGGGAGACGGAGGTTGCAGTGAGCCAAGATCGTGCTCCGGCCTGGGCGGCAGAGCGAGACTCCATCTCAAAAACAAAAAGATAATAAAATGAAATTTAAAAAATAAACGCATGCAAAATAAATAAATAATAAGCACACGCAGCCGGGTGTGGTGGGTCACGCCTGTAATCCCAGCACTTTGGGAGTCTGAGGCAGGTGGATCACAAGGTCAGGAGTTCAAGACCAGCCTGGCCAATATGGTGAAACCCTGTCTCTAGGAAAAATACAAAAATTAGCTGGGCGTGGTGGCAAGTGCCTGTAATCCCAGCTACTCCGGAGGCTGAGGCAGGAGAATTGCTTGAATCAAGACCCGGGAGGCGGAGGTTGCAGTGAGCCGAGATTGCACCACTGCATTCCGGCCTGGGCTGCAGACAGACTCTGTCTCAGAAATAAATAAATACATAAATTTAAAAATAAACACACATGGCCAGGTGCAGTGGCTCACGCCCGTAATCCCAGCACTTTGGGAGGCTGAGGCAGGTGGATCAACTGAAGTCAGGAGTTCAAGACCAGACTGGCCAACAAGGTGAAACCCTCATCTCTTAAAAAAAATAAACGCACACATCCACAGGGAAACATGAAGAATGTGTCCTCGGTGTGCACTTGTCAGTGCACAACCCATCCAGCTATACCAGACAGTGCTCAGGCTCAGGCATAAGAAGTATCCCCAGGCAGCTGCCCAGAGCCAGACTAGCATGGGTGGTTCTTCTTGAGAGCATGGGCACGTAGCTATTACCTCCAACCTGCTGATCCCCCGACACACACACCTGACACAAAAGAACTCCTTACCTGCTCACACATGCTCAGATGCCTCACACAACAGCAGACAGGCAGATGCCTCCGTATGTAGCCCCCCCGTCAGTACCATCACCTCCCCTGCTCACTGACGGGCCACCCGGTCACCTGCTAGTGCCAGTCTGCACACACGTGCATCGTGCCCACACAGCCTCACACAGACCTGCACTCAGAGACTCAGGCTGGATTCCTGGTTGATGCTGCCATGTGCTGCTCCTGCAGACAAAAGTATGGCATGTGTGCTGCTCCTGGTGTGCACGGGGGTGGAGCTGGGCTGGGAGCTCCCTTGCTTCTGTCCAGGCCAGGCTGGCTTCTTCCAGAGGGCCCAGCCCCCCCCACACACACACCTTCCGTGGTCACTGAACCCAGTCATCACCCATGCTGAAACCCATCCCACCCTGAGCAGCAGGGAGCCCCAGAGCCAGCTGGATGCCTGGGGGAGGTGGGGGTGGGGGGCAAGGGTAGCTGAAGGAGGTGGGTGGAGTGAGAACAAAGGAGTCAAAGCTCCCAGAGCTGGGGGAGGGACAGGCAGGGCTGCATCTCCATCTAGGGAAGGCAGGTGTCTGTGTGTCCCGGGGCTGCCATACCAAACGGCCACAAACCACGGGCCTTGGACAACAGAAATGCATTCTCTCAGTCTCAGAGGTCTGAGACCCAGGCTGGCAGGGTCACACTGTTGAGGATCCCTGTTGAGGGTCTGGGGAGGTCCTTCCTCTCCCAGCTTCGTGGACTCCAGGTGTTCCTTGGCTGTGGCTTCCTATGGCCTCCATCTGTCTGTGTCTTTTTTCTCTCTTTTTTTTTTGTTTTCTCAACATTTTTTTTTTTAACCAGAGTCTTGCTCCATTGCCCAGGTTGCACTATAGTGGCATGATCTCAGCTCACTGCCAACCTCCCAGGTTCAAGTGATTCTCCTGCCTTAGCCTCCCAAGTATTTGGGATTACAAGCGCATGTCACCATGCCTGGCTTTTTTTTTTTTTTTTGTAGAGAAAGGGTTTTGCTGTGTTGCCCAGGCTGGTCTTGAACTCCTGGCCTAAAGCAATCCTCCTGTCTCAGCCTCCCAGAGTGCTGGGATTACAGGCTTGAACCACCACACCTGGCCTGTTTCTCTCTTCTGTGTTTTATAAGGACACTGGTCAGTAGACTTAGGGCCCACCAAGGTAGTCCAGGATGATCTCACTTCGAGATGCCTCCCTCAAGCACATCTGCAGAGACGCTTTCTCCCAGTAAGGCCACGTTTAGGGGGTCTGGGCATTAGGATGTGGATATATCTTCTTTTGGGGGGACCATCCCACTCACTACAGATGGTGAGAAAAGGTGCATGTGAAATTGGCAGGGCTTGGGGCAGAAGTGGGTTCACGTCAGCAGGGCATGATGAACACACAGCCACCCTGCCCTCTTGCCCCGTCCTGTCCCCAGTCTCACTGCCCTGAGAGCCTCTGCTCTGCCCTGAAGCCGAGGGGCTCCTCAGGGATCCCACTGACTCCCAGGGGTTCTTTCACGACCCACATGATAGCGGTCTTGCTGACCCCTGACCCCCAATAGAACCGAGTGGCCCTTACTGCTCTGGGACCTTCCCCATTCACGGGTGGCCAGAGGTACAAGGAGCCACTCGGCTCTATTGGGGGCCAGGGTCAAGGGGTGAGCAACACCTTGATCCTGTCTTGCTGATCACGTCTGACCCACTCCAGACCCTGCACCTGAATTTATGTCCCCGGTCTTCAAGTTCCGGAGGACCTGGGCTGAGTTGGAGCCTCCCTGGGGCCCCAGCACTTGACCGCCAGGGCTGGGATTGGGGCAGTGGGCAGGCTGTGGCCCAGGCCCGCGAGAATGCCGATGCAGAGAGGTCATGGGGCCAGGAGAGAACAAAGGGCAGGGCGGTGAGTTTAGGGCCAGGGAGCTAAGGGGAGACGGCCAGGGGCCGAGGACCCAGGTGGCAGTGCCAACGGGGGCCAGCGGCCAGATCGCCCTTGGCTGCCACTTTGGGGCCCCACCCAGAGTCCGACACGTCCACGTCCGAATCTGGTCCTGCGCGTCCTAACAAAGGTCAAACCGACGAGGCTCCTTTGATTTCACACCTTTTCAGCGCACAGACAGGCTACTTTCGCCTCGTCCCGGCAAAAGACCGGCACAGGGCGGCGGGGACCCCGAGCCCCGTGCAGCACCGCGGCCAGGCTCACGAGGCTTCCGTGGGGACAGAGCGCGCAAGAGGGACCCACAGTCCCCAAGGCCATCCCGGGGCGTCGCGAGGCAAACCAGGCTGAGCCAGGGCCTCCTCTTCGCCAGCCGGACGGACCCGGGAGTCCTTTGGGGACCCCAAGCCGCCCAGCGGGTGACGCGTGCGTCCCGAGGCCGCCGTGTCCCGGCCCACGAGGCCCTTCCCGGGTCACGACCCGGGCTACGTGCGCCGGGCGCCCGGCGGGTTGGGGGGGCCGCAGGCGCGGGGCACGGAGGCGGCCGGGTCGTACCACCGCGGGGCGGGGAGGGGAGCAGCTCCCGCCCCGCGCCCCGTAGCCCCGCGCCCCGAAGCCCCGCGCCCCGAAGGCCCGCGCCCCGAAGCCCCGCGAGCCCGGGCCGTACCACCGCGCGGCGGGAGGAGGACCACCTCGGGCCGTACCATCCGCCCGGCTGGGGGACGCGCCCCGGCCCCGCCGCGCCCTCGTGGCCGGCGCCCCGCAGGCCCCGCCCGGCAGGTGCCGCCCCTCCCCGGGCCGACGTGCAGAAAAGAACGCGCCGGCCTCGCCCGCGGAGGGCCGCGCGGCGGTGGGCGGGGCGTCGCGAACCTCCCTCACGCCCACTGGCTGCGTTGCGGCAGGGCGGGCCCGGCTCGGCCGACCATTGGCTGCGGGGGCGGGTCATTTGCATACGGGGCGGGGCGTGGGCGGTGGGGACCCGGCCGGGGCGGGGCGGGCCGGAGGCGCAAGGGTGCCCCGGGCCGCGGCCGAAGTTGGGCCGAGAGCCGGCGGCCGCACCTCGCCGGGGTCGCAGGTGACGCGCGAGGAGTCCCAGGTTGGCGGGCCGGGCGCACCTCCGAGGCCGCCCTCCCGCGGGGTGGCGGGGGGTCGGGCTGGGCAGGGGGGGCGGGGCTCGGACACCAAGTTGGAGGGCGCGGGGGTGGGGGTCGAGTCCTCCGCCCGCGCACCCGGCCGTCCCTCCAGACGCAGGGCAGCCCCTGCCCACCGCACACTGCGCTGCTCCAGACCCACTGTGCGTGTGACAGCGGCTGATCTGTGCCTGGGCAGCGCGACCCTCCTGGCCCCGTGACCCGGGTCTGGCGGGCAGGCGAGCGGGCACACGGGGACGCGAGGGCAGCCGGATACTGTGGGGGGGTGCCCCCGTGGACGGGGGTGCCTGTCTGCCCAGCAGGGAGGCGGGTGGGGGACAGCGGAGCCATTCCGGGGCTGTGCTGCCCTCCGCTTGCTGGGGCCGAGGCTGGGCCAGATAACCTCGTGGAAGGAGCTTTCTTTTCCTTGTGCGTCCAGGGTGCCGGTCTGCGGAGTTCCTGTAGCCAAGTCGAAGGTGGCCCTGGGCAGGCACGGGTGCTATGCTCCTATCTTCAGCCACCAGGGCCATCCTCTGGGGACTTCCTACGGGAAGAGTGACGGATTTGGCGCTTCTGTGTTTCAGCCGCTTCAGTGAGGCCACTGAGGGAGTCGGCGCGGTGGGCCTATGTTGGGGCCCGGGACGTGCCTCTCCAGCTGCCTGTCTGCTGGGCTTGCCTTCTCAAGACCACTGTGAAAATCAGGGCCAGGGTGTGTCCCGAGCTTACAGGCCCTGTCCCCTCTCCTCGTGTCTGCAGGGGTTGAGGGCTGCACCCAGCTCGCTGGAGAGGGAGAGGCAGATCTAGTGGACGCCTGGCGTGGACTCGGACTGGCCTTTGGAAGCACCCTGTCCTGATGGGGTTGCCTGTCACCACTGTGGGCTGAGACTTGGCAGAATCTGCAGGTGGGGAAGGCTGTGTGTGGCCTTGGGGTGGAACCTGCGGAGCTGACTTCCTGCCGGATAGGGACTTTCTGTGAGGCACCCTCAGAGAACCGGGGTCCTCGGCCGGCCCTACAGAGCACTTCTGTGCTGGGGTCAGGTAGAAAGTCTGGGCCAGTAGGGCCCCAGCACAGTCCCTCAATGTGGCCTGGCTCTGCCTCTGACCATATTACACCAGGTGGGATGCCCCCCTGCGTCGCCTGGGGGTTGGCTTGGCTTGGGCCTGCCCTGCGGTGGAACTGGATATTTTCGGGGAGCCCAGCCTTTCCACTCGCCAGCACAGCGCACAATATAGTTTTCAAAGTGCAGTTTCAAACTCAAAAGTAAACTTTTCAGCCACTCAAAGGTTTGCTTAGTGATCGGAAACGCTCTGGCCACTTTTCAGGACCATGGGACTCTGTTCACCTGAAACAGCTGTGAGAGGCCCGGCTCAGTGGCTCACGCCCGGCATCCCAACACTTCGGGAGGATGAGGCGGGTGGTTCACTTGAGATCAGGAGTTCAAGACCAGGCTGGGCAACATGACGAAACCCCATCTCTACTAAAATCACAAAAATTAGCCGCGTGCGGTGGTATGCGCCTGTAGTCCCAGCTACTTGGAAGGCTGAGGCTGGAGAATTGTTTGAACCTGGGAGGTGGAGGTTGCAGTGAGATGAGATTGTGCCATTGCCCTACAGCCTGGGTGACGAGAGAGACTCTGTCTCAAAAAAATGAAAAATGAAACAGCCAGTGAGGAGGAAGTCTCCACACCATCCCCACCCCTCCAGAACCCAGCGGGTGCCGGGATGCCTCTTGGTGGGGAAGAAGGCTGGTTAGCTAGCAGTAACAGACCAGGCACGGGCACCCAGGCGGTGGCTTCAGAAGAACAGGTGTTCTTTGAAAACAGACACAGGAACAGCACAGCGTGTGCTCTGCCAGTCCCATGCCTGCTTCCCATTGAGGGGCGGGGGTGGGTGGGGCAGAGCTCATGACCCCAGGAGGACATGGGGGTAGGCTCTGGATGGCACCTGGCACTGCCCCTTGCTGGCCTGTGTGCTTCTGGAAGATGACCCCATGATGGGTCAGAGGGCTGGTCACAGGTACAACCACCCTTTGGAGTGTGGGTGGGGGCTGTGATGGAGGAGTCGGCCCTCAGGCCCCAGGCCAGCTGCCCGGGGAACAACCCACTTGGTCTCTGCATTCCAGGCTCCACCCCATGTGACCCTGGGTTTAGCCCTGTCTGGGGTCACGGGTTAGGCAGGTCCAGGCCCCTGAGGACCTCCCAGGGATGGGCAGCTGTGAGCCAGGCAGCAGGCTGAGGCCAGAGTGCAGACAGGAGCAAAGTCAAGTGAGGGTCTGGCTTGCTGACACTGGTGCCGGGAGCCACCTCTGCTGCCTGGCCTCACCGCATTTGGTTCCCTGCCTCAGGCAGGAAATAGCCAAGCCAAGTTCCCTCTACGCAGCAGGGAGCTGGTGGCCCTGGCCTCTGGGGGGCCCTGTGGATGGCTTCCTTGCTCAAGTTCAGGACTTCCACGTTCCGTTCGTCTACTCCAGGGACAGGGGGCACCAGATGCAGGGCCACCCAAGAGAAAGCTGAGTCCATCCCAAACTCCCCCACCCTCAAAGCACAAAGACCCTATGATCTAGGGCAAGCTTGTCCAACTTTCGCCCGTGAGACGGCTCTGAATGCAGCCCAACACAAATCTGTAAATTTTCTTTTATTTTGTTGAGACGGGTGTTTCTCACTGTCACCCAGGCTGGAGTGCAGTGGCGTGATCTTGGCTCACTGCAGCCTCTGTCTCCTGGGTTCCAGCAATTCTCCTGGGTCAGCCTCCTGAGTAGCTGGGATTACAGGTGCCCACCACCACGCCCAGCTAATTTTTGTATTTTTTAGTAGAGACGGGGGTTTCACTTATTGGCCAGGCTGGTCTCCAACTCTCAACCTTGTGATTCACCTGCCTTACCTCCCAAAGTGCTGGGATTACAGGCATAAGCCACTGTGCCTGGCCACAATTTTTTTTTTTTTAATAGCTTATCAGCTATCGTTAGTGTATTCTATGTGTGACCCAAAACAATTATTCCAGTGTGGCCTAGGGAAGCCAAAGGACTGGACACCCCTGACTCCTCCAATACCACCCATGGCTGTACCCAGGTATAGGGGTCCCCCACATTCTGCTCACCACAAAAAGCCTCTTCTCCAACCCCAACCATGGTCCTTGGAGCTGGGAGGGTAGGGTTCACCCTGAGGATCAGGAGAAGCAACAGGCAGCCCAAGGGCCCAGGCAGGGCCTGGGTTGGAATGTGGACACTGCCCCAATTTTTTTATTTTTTGGAGACAGTCTCACTGTCACTCAGGCTGGAGTGCAGTGGCTCAATCTTGGCTCACTGCAATCTCCATCTCCCAGGTTCAAGCGATTCTCCTGCCTCAGCTTCCCGAGGAGCTGGGACTACAGGCGCACATGACCACGCCTGGCTAAGTTCTTGTATTTTTAGTAGAGATGGGTTTTCATCGTGTTGGCCAGGCTGGTCTCCAACTCCTGACCTCAGTGATCTGCCTGCCTTGGCCTCCCAAAGTGTTGGGATAATAGGCATGAGCCACCATGCTGGGCCCTGTATTTTTTGTAGAGACAGTTTCACCATGTTGCCCGGGCTGGTCTCAAACTCCTGACCTCAAGTGATCCATCCGTCTCAGCCTCCTAAAGTGCTGGGAGTACAGGTGTGAGCCAAGGCACCCGGCCCCGGCCCCAATTTCAAAGCTGCAGGCTCATTGCAGTTATTTCACATCCACCTAGGGAGGGAGGCAGCCCCTGCCCACTGGTACCCAGGCCCTCCCTGGGGTGGTGAAGCTGCCCAGGCCTGGCTGACCTAGGAATCTGGGACCCGCCCCCACAAGTTCTCAGTAAACCTGACAGGCGGGTCTAGCTCATCCCAGCGTCCTCAGTTCCTGCCGCTGGTGGGGCACAGGTCACACAACGAGGAGTCAGGTGGGAGGGGGTTCAGACAAGCCCGGAACGGTCAGGCCAGGCTCAGCCAGCAGGCCTGCCAGGCTGGGGCCTTCAACAGGAGAGCCCCTGGGGGTAGGCAGGGCCAAGCAGATGGAATATGGAGCCCAGGAAGCTCCAGCGCTTGGCCCCACTGAGTACTGGTCCCTGAGGGACCCCATTCAAAGATGCTCAGCTGTGGCCAGCCCCAGGTGTCTTGGGGTGCTGCTCAGCGGCACCCCGTGGAGGCTCACGCTCAAGATCTCACAGACCCAGCCCAGCGCAGCCTTAGCACACACTCAAGCCACTGCGGGCAGTTTATTGAGGTTTTAGTGTTGGGGTCAGGAGGCGGCACACACATGCTCTCACCGTGTACACACCGTGAAGGAGCCTCCCGCAGGCAGGCACATGCCCACAGCCTGAGCACTGTCAATGAATCTCCTGTCCCCAGCAGGCAGTTCTGGCCTCTGGGGTCTGGCAAGTTCGAGCTGGCTATGCCCCATGCTTCTCCAGGGCGTCTGGCAGACCTGGCAAGGACCCGGACAGTCCTCCCCTGCACCCCCTGCTCCTGATGCCGAGCCCAGAGCTTCCCACTGTGTGGTGCAGGAGCCCTCTGTGACCGCCGACCTCCTTCTGCGGTCCAGGCAGGCTGGTCTCACCGCCCTCACTGATCTGTCACAGAGCCTGGGGCTGGGCTGCCAGAGGACGCCGCTCTGGGGCAGGAGCTGCTGCTACCTCCAGTTCTGCTTCACGGCAGCCACTGTGGAAGGACACAGGCTGAGGAGGCTGCGGCCACAGGAGAGCGCCGGGTCCCAGGGGTAGGCAGGACACAGACATACCCTCGGGGCCTAGGGCAGGCACCAGCACGGGGCTCAGGGGGGGTCCCAGGAGGGACTCCTGTCTGGCTGGAGACAGAGGGCCCTGTGGGGAGGGAAGTCAGCTTGGAGTGGGGCTGGGCCAGGTCCTCACCTCCCAGCCTCCCCCAGAACCACATCAACCTGTGTGTTAGGAGGGTCCCTGTCAGGCCGTGGGGGCGGCGGTAGCGCAGCCCCAGTCTGCTGGATGAACTGCTGCAGGTTACACTGACGGAGCTCCCGGTTCAGCTCCTCCAGCTCCTGAGCCTGGGCCTGGGGGCACACGGGACTCTCAGGAGGCACAGCCATGGGGCTCCGTGGCCCTTGTGCCCCAGAGGGAGTGCTCTCCCTAGCTGGACCCTGTGACCCCCAAACCTGCTCATGTCAGGGGAGGGGAAGGGACAGGAAGCAGGTCCTGGCGCTCACCTGCAGGGCTCGCTCTGCAGCCTCCAGGGCCCGGCTCACCAGGGCCAGGCTGCCCTGCACCTCCGCACTCTGCCGCTCCTGAACAGCCAGGTCCTGGCGCAGACGCTCAGTGGCAGATGCCATGGGAGAAGGGGGCCCAGGGGCCTCTGCTGCCAGCTGCAGCTCGGCCTCCAGGGCTCGGGCCTGGGCGTCCAGGGCCTGCAGCCGGGCGGCGTGCTCAGCAGTGGCTGCGCTTAGCGCTTGCAGGCGTGCCTGTCCCTCCTGCTCCCGGGCTTGCTCCCGACGCAGCTCCTGCTCCCAGAAGGCCTCGTGGCCCAGCTCCTCAGCGTTCCTCTGCACCCTGAGCTCCAGGCTCCGCAGGTCTGTGCAGCAGCCTGGTGAGGGTGTCACGGGGGCTGCAGGCCCAGGAGGTGAGAGGCTGGGGGCTGGCCCGAGGGTCAGTGCTTTGCAGGGCTCACAGCCCAGCGCTGCCCGTGGCTTTGCAGGGAGGCTGGCACGAATTGGGCAGCGTTCTGGGGGTGAGCAGCTGTCTGAAGAGGGCCTCCCAGCCAGGCTGGGCCCTGTGCGCCTCAGGACAAACTGGACATCGCTGGCAAACTGTCCACAGGTGGCCTGGGCGCCCACTGGACACTCCTCTGGCAGCAGCTGCCGCTCCTTCTCTCTAAGCCGCTGCACAAGTACAAACCGGCCGGTCTGGCCTGGGGGGAAGGGGAGAAGGTCAGCCTTTGTGCCCCCCACTCTGTCTCCCTGGCTTGAGGAACTGGGAAGGACAAGCCGGTTCAGCAACCAGCCCCACCCTCCTTGGGTGAAACAGGGCTAGACCATCAGGCCTCACTTCAGCTCTACCTGCAGGGCCAGCCTCACCCCAGAGCACTCACCTATTGCTTGCGCCAGTGCGATGACCACTTCCTGGCAGGTGGTCTGCTCGGAGACCCCACAGACCACACGCTGGACGCCGTCCACCCACACCTTCAGCTCCATGGCTGCCAGCCCTAAGAGCATCCCTGTTTTGCGGGGAAGGCGCAGGCCACAGGGTCAGGACCTGCCTACTCCTACCTCAGCCTGGTCCTCCTCCTGGCCTGCCCTAGAAACGGCCCGGGCTGCGGCCCCTCCGCATTGGCCCCGCCCTCCCGTGCCGGCCCCACCCGCCGGCCACACATTCCTGGGGTGGCCCTCCGGAGCATGCAGGCTCCCCACCTCACCGGCCTCCTCTTGCCACGCCCGCACTCCCGGAACAAGGCGAATCATTAACCAGACCCAGGATTTCCTGTCCGCCTCACCAGGCTCGGAGGGCACTGCGGCCGCCGCCATGGGAACGCCCCCCCCCCCCCGACCCGCTCAGGCCGCAGCGGCGCTCGGGGTCGCGACCCTGACCTCGACCCCGCAGACCCAGCGGACTCCGGGTCTGAGCAGCCCCCGCCAACCCAGGGAGCCCCGCCGTCCAATCGCCCCGAAGGTCCCGGCGTCCGCCGCGGGCACGGATGCCGGCGCCGTCTGCAACCCCAGCCTGGCGGGAGCCAGGGCGTCCCAGCTCCGCAGGGTGGGCGCAGGTGCCGCGACGCCCGCGCCCTCGGCCCCCCACCCCGGCCTCGCGGAAAACGCTCCCCAGTTGGAGTCGGTTCCCGGCCGGCTCGAGGCGAGCCCCGCGCTCGGAAGGCCCCGGGACCCGGCGCGGCTCACCTGGGCGCTCGCCAGCATCGGGACCCGCTCGGGAGCCGCCGCAACCTGCCGCCCCCAGCGCCGCGGCGCGCCCCGGCCCCGCGCCCCCATTGGCCCGCGGCCCGCACGCCCCGCCCCCCAGCACCCCTATTGGCTTCTCCGAGCGGGTGTCCCGCTCTCCAGCCCTCACCCATTGGCTGCCTCCATCACGCCCCTCCCCGCCCCATTGGCTCGCCGCCGCGCCCCGCCCCCAGAAACTCCAGGTGTGGGCGGGCCAGAGGGCGGGGCCTAGCCGCGGTCCTCCGCCCCCATCCCCCACCCCGCGAAGGACGCGGAAACGCGGCGGCTGCGGCCCCGGGCGGCGCGTCGGGGCAGGTGTCTGGCCCCGCTCGGGGCGGACTTCCTTCCTCAGCCGCCTTCAAGTGTGGCGGGTTCCCGCCCGGGGACGGTCTCCGGCCTGGGATCCCGCACACCCCACGTGTGCCCAGGGGCAGCGGGGCCGGCACCGCCCCTCGCGTTCGCGGCCGTTCCCTGGGGGCCCCCGCGGTGGCGGTCACCTGGACGCGCAGGGCCGCGGGGAGCAGGGGCACGAGTCCCCGGCTGGGGGCAGCCCTGGTGCGGGAGGTGCCCGCTCGGGAGAGGCCGGGCCCCGGCTGAGGCTCTTCGTCCCGACACCTACCTGCCCTGCTGTCCCGGCGGGGTCCGCAGCCTCGTGGTCCGCCATTCATTGCCTGCTCTGCCCAGCTCGGAACGAGTTGTGGGCGTGGAGGGGCCTCCTGCCGGCCCGTCTCCTGTGCTCCTCTAGGGAGGCCTTACCCAGCCGACAAGTTGCAGAGATGGAGGGTGAATGAGTGAGGGCGGGGTGGAGGTGAAGGCGGGAGTGCTTGGGTCTTGTGGGTCAGGTCTGGCCTCACTTTTGTCCTAGAAGAGGGGGAATGCTTGTCGTGATAATGGCAATGCCCACGGGGGTCCCTGGGGGTGACCCAGGGGGTGTGGAGATGGCTGGAAAAGGTGAGGCTTCCAGCTTGGGGATGAGTGCTGGTCACTGAGGTCGAAGGGGCTGTGGGCTGGGCCTGGCGGTGCAGGCAGGCGCCTGTAGTCCCAGTAACTCAGGAGGCAGAAGTGGGAGGATCGCTTGAGCCCAGGAATTCCAGATTACCATGAGCTGGATCACACCAAGGCGCTCCAACAGCCTGGGCAACAAAGCAAGAACCTGTATATAAAAAACTAATTACTAATTTAAAAAGAGGCTGTGGGCAGGGGCGTACTACTGCAAATTAGCCCTTACCAGTCCCCAGCTTGTCACTGTTACCTGTCTGCTTCCTGTCCCCCACACACCCGTGGCTATGCTGGCCTGGCTCACAGACAGCAATGCTTCTATATGTGTCACGCTGCTGCCACCAGGCTAGGTGGGGGATGCTGGGGCCTCCCTCAGGTGGAGGGTGTTGGCCACTAAGTGGTTTCCCCCACCCCAAGCTGAGCAGTGGCTCAGCCTCTCACACCTCCTCCAGGCTGGGCTGGCTCAGAACTCACCCAGCGGCCTGGTCTGGGGTCTCCCTGGAGGCTCCAGGTAACAAACAGCCCCTCCCCTTCTGGGTGCTGGTATCCAGGGCAACGGTACACAGCCCTTCCCTCCCAGGCCGGCTTGGAGCTCTGGCCTCAGGTGAATGCTGGGGGTGGGGCCCTGAGCTGGGGAGACAAGAGAGAGAAAGAGAAAGACACCACATCACAGGCAAAGGTCAGAAACACACAGGTGTGGACACCCATTTGGGGAGCTCCTCAGATAGCCACGCTCCCTGAGCGCTGGTGCCGCTGGGCGGCTCCAACCTGTGTGGCCACACAAGCACACTTGGCCTCCCCACCCCTCCCAGCTCCCGAAGAACATCACAAATGGCCCCCAAGTCTGGCCCCAGGGCTGAAGAAGCCAAGGAGGAGGCTCTCTTGTCCCCCGCAGACCGAGAGCTGGTCAGTGGTCACCTGGGACCTCCAGCAGGCACACCTGCAGCCTCTGCGACTCCCACAAGCCTGCCGGACACCACGCCCCACTCCTCACGGGTGGCCTGCTCTGCCCACCCGCAGTAAGGACGGGAGGGAGGAGTGGTGAGGCTCCTGGGCCAGATGGCGGGGGCCCAGCCTGAGCAAGCAGCAGGGGCACTGTCGCTGCAGGTTGGCTCCTGAGTCCCTGGATCCTCGCACGCTGCGGCTGCTGTGGGGGCAGCGAGAACTAGAGATCCAGGCCTTGCGGTGGGAGGTCCAGAATGGCCGGGACACCCGGCTCTGCCACATCCTGCAGGAGGTGGCGGGGCTTCCGCCCAAGAGGTCTGAAGCAGAGCATCCAGCCCAACCCAACCCTGCCCTGTCCTGGCCCCAACCCCAACAGCCGAGTGAGATCCTTTCCCTCGACCTTGCCCACGCTGACCCTCCACCCTGACCCTAAGCTAACACGTCACAGCCTCACCCCAGCCCTGAGCATGTGGATGGGTGCCAGGCCCCTGCCCAGACCAGTGGGAGGCTGGCCGGCCCCAGCGCCGCTGTACTGTGTGCCCTTGGGGCCAAGATGGCGGTGGTGCCCTCCTTCACCACTGACCTGGTGTTAAGAACCCCTGCCTGAGCAGGCTGGGGGCTGCTGAGGTCACCCCTCCTCCAGGAGCTCCCACAGTCAGGAGAGGCTACTGCAGAGCCGGGTCCAGAAGCTGACCCTGCAGCTAAAGGAACAGAAAGAGCGAGCCCAGTGGGTGAGGCGGGGGGCACAGAGGGTTGACGGGGGCACAGGGAGTGGGCGGGGACACGGAGTGGGCGGGGCACAGGGAGTGGGCGGGGCACAGGGAGTGGGCGGGGTCCTGGTATGGGGAGCCCGGCGGGGTCACAGGGAGTGGGCGGGCGCGCAGGGAGTGGGCGGGCGCGCAGGGAGTGGGCGGGGTCCTGGTGTGGGGACCCCGGCGTGGGCTGGCCTCTCACCCACAGGCCCTCCTTGAGCAGGAGAAGGAGTACCTGGAGGAGCAGCTGCTGGAGACCACCCGCAGGCTCCAGGAGGTGGAGGCCGAGCTGCAGAACTTCCAGAAGTCCTGCCTCCTGCAGCTAGCCCGCTCCTCGTGGGTGGGCCGCATGCTGCGATCCCAGACTGGCAGTGTGGAGGTGAGCCCACCCTTCAAGCCCTGCTGCCCCAGCCGCCCTCCCCAGCCCTCACCCTCCCATCGGGTACCTCTGCTGGGGTGCCCTGGTCTGCCTGGAAGCCTGCCCGGCTCAGGCTGCCTCTGGAACTCCAGGCTCCAGCGGGGAGGAATCAGGAGGCCTCAAAACACAGGTAAGGTCAAAGAGAAGAGGTGCTGTGGGGGAGGGTGCCACTCGCCCCAGTCCCTGCCCACTGGCCTCTGGTCCCCTCTGGCAGGTGGTGACAGCAGGGACTCTGATGGACCCAAGTGACCTCTCTGAGGACATTCAGGCTCCCACTGGGGAGGTAAGCTAGGCCTCCCACGTGTGTGCTCTGGGATCTGGAGCCCGGCGGGAGGGGACACGTGCCTCTTGTTTCCTGGCCAGGGCTTTCGGCTGGAGGACGTGGACTGGAACAGTATTGCCCACCGGTACCCCAACCTCTTCACCAACATGGAGCTTGACTCACAGCAAAAGTAACGGCACAGGCAGGGACTCCCCAGGGGCCAGAAGGGAGGGCTCACCTTGGCAGGTGAAGACCCAGGCCACTCAAGGACACTACCCCTTGGTGCCCCTGGATAAGTCCCTTAACCCTCCAGTGCTCAGTCCTGTGATCTGTAGAACGGGTTGGGGTTGAAGGGGCCATCACTGTCCTGCCATGTGCTGGGCCTGGCTCCTGGGTACCGGGACCCAGCAGGGGCTCCCTGCTGCGCTGCCTATTCCGGTTGGATGGGGGCAGGGCTGGCGTCTGGAGCTGGAATGGACATCAAGCAGAGTGTGGTCCACAGGCAGCCCTGGCCCTGGCCACAGCTAGACACAGACAGCCCGGGGTCCCCTGGAAAGCACTCCGAGGGGCATCACAAGACCGTGAACTGGGGCTCCCTGCCCTGTCTGGGCACCAGCAGCTCAGGGGGTGCTGACTCCGACTCCAGCAGCTACCAGCGGGGACTGCCTTACCACCTGCTGAAGGCATCAGGGCACTCGCCCCAGGGCTGGGGTGCTTCCTGCGAGCAGGCACTGGTGCAGGCCAGGAACTCTAGAAAAGGATCAGAAGGTGCAGTGGGGCGGGGCTCCCTGTTACCCTAACCCACCCTCCATCCCTCAGGCCCGTGATCTCACCCAGAGCCCTGAAGGAGGTCCTCCAGGCCCCGAGGTACAGCCGCTCTTCCTGCCTCTCTGACCCTGGCCCTGCTACCCGCTCCCCCAGGCCCTGCAGGCCTGGTCTGGCCTCACGGGGTACATCTCGTTGGGTACGCCATTCGAGGGTTCCCCTCCCCAGAAGTGCTCCTCTCTAGATCTCCAGAAAACCCGATCAGCCAGGCACCGCAAGCCGGTCCCGGCGCCAGAGCTCTGCACAGACCCTGACTACCCGGGCCCCGAACACCCGCAGAGGTAAGGGGCGGCCCAGGCCTCTGGCGCTCGGCTGGAGCTGGTTTCCGGGCCCGGCGCACAGCCGTGGGGTGGACAGGCCGCATCTCCTCACAGCGCCCCCCTCTTGCCCCAGCCCGACGAGCAGCTGCCTGAAGATCGTGGCCGTGAGCGTCCGCGAGAAGCTCGTCCGCATCCTCAATCAGTCGCAGCAGGAGACGGCCGACCTGGGCGGCGCGGTGCTGAAGCAGCTGGTGCGCGGCCGCCCGGAGCGCCTGTACCGCTTCCCGCCGGCCACGCTGCTGGCCCCGCGCCACCACATCACGGTGCGCCCCGGCCCGCGAGCCCAGCCCGGACGGCCAGCCCGGCCGCCCCTCACCCGCCGCTCCGCGCCCTTCCAGGTCTGGGGCGAGGGGCCCCGCAACGCCGAGAAGCCGCCGTGCGCGTCCTCTGGCCGGGAGCCCAAACCCTCCCACTCCAGCCGCCACTGCGTGACGCTGCTCCTGGGCCCCAAGGGCGAGGTCGGTGCGGGCCCTCGGGGGGCGGCCGGGCATCGGGTGCGGGGGTGACCGACGCGCCCCGCAGGTCCTCAGCGAGCACCGGATCCCACACTGCGCGACTCCGGCCCCAAGGGTCTTCGTCGGCTACACCGACTTGTCCATCGACCGCTTCCCGCTCCCGGAGGTGGAGCCCGGCACCGACCCCTGCGAGCCGCCTGGAACCCCGCGCAGAGGCCGCGTGCGAGAGCCCCGGGTCGGTCGCCGGAGGCCACGGTGGGAACCGCGGGTCCCCGGGACCCCGCCTCCTCTCCAAGCCCCCCCCCAGCAAAACGGTCCCGCGGATCCCCTCGCCTGGGCGGCCCCAACGTCCCCAGGTCCCGTCCTGCCGCCCCGAGTCACCAGGGCGTCCCTCAGCCCCTGCACCATGCCAGGCGCGGAGCCCTCTAGGGCCGCTTTCCACGGGCCGGCCGCCGCCCTCATGATCCTCGCCCCCCAGGACGCGGGCCCTACAGCCGCCGCCGAGCTCGGGGAAGCGCTTCCACCCGCGGGAGGGGCCCGCGCAGCACCTGCCCCCCATCCCCGGGGAGCGCGCGCCGGAGGGAGAGCGCGGCCCGCCTGACCCCACCCCACCGCCGCCTCCCGCAGACGCCGGGCTGGGCCTGGAGGAGCACCGAGTTCGGGTGAGGGCGCGCGTGTGGATGCGCCCGGTCCCCCTCCTCCACTCCCCTCCCCTCCCCTGCCCCTCCAAGTTCCCTCCCCGTCCCCCCTTCCTCTTTCCATCCCCGCCCCGCCCCTCCCCTCCCTTCCTTGCCCCGCCCCGCGCGCCTCTCAGCCCCCGCGCCCCCCAGGTGTGCCGGAAGAGCGTGGACCGCGGCTGCCCCATGGTCGCCCTGTCGGTGCCGAGCACGGCCGAGAGCAGATACGGCTTCCGCTTCCTCAGCTGCCTGCCGTTCACCGCGGACGCCTGCCGCCGCGCCTAGGGGCCGGGACCGCGGGGAGGGCGGGCGGGACGGGCGCGGGGACTAGGCAGGGGGGTCCGCTGCGTAATTTAATGAACCAACGTTGCCTACAAAGTAAATCGCATTTCTGTACACCTGGGAGTCAAAAAATGATTCGCTTGGCTTCCGGGGCATCCTGCCCCAGGAGGAGGGAGCTGCCGCCCTGTCGCGGCGCGGGAGCCCTGCAGATCCCCCGGGGACAGGAGGCCGAGGGCGAGCAGCTGGGACCCTGGGACACTGGGCCACGGAGGCCTAGGAGGTGGCTCTTACTCTGGGAGTGGGGAGTGTGGGGGGCTGAGGGGTGGACTCGCAGCCCCAGTTCCAGCCCCTGCCCCTCGGCCACACCCAACTCTAGCCGGAGAGCCCTCTGACAGGCCTGCCCCTGTGACCACCCCCCAACCTGTGCCCACGGGAAAGCCTGGCCGGAAGGAAGGCTGGATCGGGACCCTCCCTTCCCACGCCAAACCCTGTCGGGGGCCTAAAGTGGGTTCAAGCCCGAGCCCCCCCTTTCCTCCACCAAGAGGGTCCTCCCCAGGGCCAGGCATTCCCTCCACCCGCCAACACACCCGCCCAGACGTTCTGTGCTCCATGAGGCCAAGTCCACCCAGCGCCCCCGTGACCACATATGTGGGCAGGTCGTGGCCCCAGCACAGTGTAGCTTGGCAGTGGGGCTACACTAAGTGGGGGAAGGGGGTGGGGTGGGAGAGTTCGGCTGCCCTGGGGATTCTGGCTGATGCGTCTGGTGCTGGCTTTGGGCCAGGACATCCCTGGGCTCCAGGGCTCAGGTCTGAGGCCATTGCCGCCGCCCCATCACCCACGCCAGGCCCCCAGCTGCCCAGGGCTCGGAGCCGACGCCCCCTGGACTGCAGGTCTGTGGGCCACCTGGGGGAGCTGCTGCCAGAAGCTGGTGGCATCGGGTGCTTGGGAGGGGAAGGGACCAGTTGACATCGGAAGGTCCTGGGGGGCTCTAGAAGGCAAACAGAGTGACAGCTGTCACAAAGGCCGTGAGGCAAGGGGAGGCCACAGCCCACCCATGGCCCTGCAGCCCCAAGGCCATGGTCCAGGCTAGGGGTCCACAGGCAGCATCCCTGCCCCTCAGGCTGCTCCGCTGTACCCCAAGTTCTGTGTTCCCAGCCCTGTGACCCCTGGCTGCTTGGGCAGGCCCACCTCTGGGGCAGGTAAGGCGATCCCAACACCTGGTTCTTTCCCTGAGAGGCTGGTCACCGGCCCACTGCCCCAGGCTGGTCCCTCTGTACCCGCCTGCACTGGCACCTGCAGTCCTGGTATGCCTTTGTCCTGACCCCAGCTCAAGGCCGCTGCAGCTCGCCCTCCTCTTGGCTGCCCTGCCTGCCCTCCCTCCACCCCTGCAGCTCCTGGCCACAAGTGACCAGCTGCTGACCCCTCTCTCTGCCCCTCCACAGTCACCCACCAGCAGGGCAGAGGCTTGGCCTGCCCTGTTCCCTGCCCATCCCAGCTCCCTTGACCAGGCTCCCCCACAGGAGGGTCAGTCTGCCCACCGTGGGGTTGCCCCTGCTTATAGTGCCCCCCGCCCAGCCTGCCTGCCCACTGAGGGAGGGTCCTCTCTGCCTCGAAGCTGTGGTCACGCTGAAGCTGGTGTCCTTCGGAGAGGGCACTGCATGGCTTAATTCTGTGCCCTGAGTACACCTGCCGTCTTTGGGGTAAAGCAGCAGCACCCTCCCTGCCTTGGTCTCCTGGGGAGGCTGCTGGCCGCCGACCCCTGGCCTGGTGCCTGTGCCCCTGAAAGCTGCCTGGTGGGCATGTTCTGCCTGCTGGCGCCCTGGGGTGGCTGCTTCTTTCTGTCTAGACCACTCTGAACTCTTGACACCACCCTTTTGTGGAACGAGGTCTCTCTTGAGTCCAGCCTGGGTGGCCACAAGGTCACAGGGCTTGGACCATGGCTTGGGAGAGGGTGGACTTGGGTTGGCCCTCCCCAGCCCCAGAAGGGGACCTCCCTGTCACAGTCTCTCTCTGAGCCCGGCTGAGGAAGGGGGCCAGGCTGAATGTCCTATCTGCAGGTGTCACCTACAGAGGTGGGGTGCTGGGTTCCTCCCAGGCATGGCAGACAGGCTCAGTACCTGAGGCCAGGCTCGGGGGCCTGGGGGGAGTCTTGGACTCTGCCTGGTGCACTTGCTCTTCAGGGGCCCTCCGTCGGCTCCCGGGGGCTACAGCCCCTTCCTGTTGGGACTCCAGGTGCCTATAGGGGAGGGGGTTGGGTGGGGAGAGGAGGAGGAGCTTCGGCCCTGGCCCTCCTTGGAGTTGACCGAAGTGCACGTGAGGCTCAGGGATGGACCAATGATGACTCAGCCAAGGT